AGTGGGACCGATTAGTAAGGGAAGGACTCGGCGAGTTGCTCGTGGACTCGGCGAGTCCAGTCAACTGGAAGTTGAATTTGACTTGGATTTCGACCTGGTCAAGGGTAAAAGGGTCATTTTACCCTAAGAACATCTAGCAGTGTCTGACTGATCGTTTTGTGGGATTTATAGTCGGAGGACGTCCGGAGCAACAGCAGTAGACAGTCAGTTTCCGATCAGTTCAGCAGCTACTTTGAGGTGAGTTACCTTCCAGTAGCGGTGGGCCTAAGGCCACAATGCCGGCCCACCAGCATGAGATGCATGATTAGATGATTGTCTTTGTGATATTCATCTAGGGTTGCTATTACCTATGTTATGTTTATGTGTTAGTGACAGTAGGGGGAGATAGTCCCCCAGAATACCGGTCGATAGGGCCGAAGGGGCGGTCATGCCCAGCCATGCTAGATAGACTATGTGATATATGTGTTATGTGGTAGTAGTATGGGGGGTGAAATAGTCCCCAGTATCCGGTCGAGAGGACCGAAGGGGAGGCCAGCACCCAGATATGCTAGGCAGTATCCGATCGAGAGGACCGAAAGGGAGGCCAGCACCCAGATATGCTAGGCAGTATCCGGTCGAGAGGACCGAAGGGGAGGCTAGCACCCAGATATGCTAGGCAGCATCCGGTCGAGAGGACCGAAAGGGTAGGTCGGGCACCCAGATATGTCTGGAAATTTATGTATGTTATGTGATTATATGGTATGTGGTAAGTGGGGGAACTCACTAAGCTTCGTGCTTACGGTTTTCAGTTTTGGTTTCAGGTACCTCTTCAGCTAAGGGAAAGGAGTCGGCGCGGTAGCAGCATATCACACACACTCTTGTTTCCGCAGTTATGAGTTTATTCTGGGATTGATACTCTGATATTTTGGTTGTTTACATATTGTGGATTTCAAATTTGGATTTTAGATTTGAAATTGTTTAATTAAACAATGTTTTAATTATTAGTGTTTTCTAAGTAAAGTTTTAAAAATGAAATTTTGGACGTGAAAAATTGGGTCGTTATACACAAATGCAGCAATATACTTCTAAAGGAACGCCAAGAATAGCAATGAACTTAAACAACAACCAACAAGTCAGACGATGAAACCCCCTCAAACTAATTTGACCATATTACCCTTATGTAATTCAATTTATATCCAAGATTTATCCATTAAGTGAGAAGTTTATTATCTCAATTCATGTTTTGCCAAAATGATCTCATAAAATCAATATATACCTCCTTCTTGATAAAGGTGATCATTGATAATCAATATTTATTAAAATATAGTAGGGTGTGTATGGCTACCTCATCACCATGTTAATATCACATACTTTGATACACTCAAATTAATCTAATTTTATGAATCTTTGATTTTTCATTACCATTTTTAATTATTAATATTTTTATTTTTTACCCGTGGTTTCCATGTTGTAACCTAGTTAATAATACATCGATCTTAAAACGACTAGTTGGCCGTTGTTTCAGTGGTGTCATGTTCATGCAAAAACGAATGTAAAAAAAAGGCATAAACAAACTCTCACAAACATAAATGAACAATCGAAACTATTATTCATATTTTTTTGTTCAATTAAATGAATACAATTTTATGTTTTTATTTGTTTAATAAAATACAATTTTATGTTTTTATTTGTTTATTTATTAAATTAACAAGCCTAAACAAATCAACTTTCTACATATCAGTTTGTCGAACATTCACTTTGTGATGGTACATTTTACTTTCAACTATTTACTTTTAACGAGCATAAAAAGGTTTTTCATCGATTTAATTATTAGAATGCTATTTTTTCATTTGACAAAAATAATTAATTAGACCATAAGTTCAAAAAGAATAAATGAAAAAATATATATATAAAAATCAACTATTTTGTTGGTTAACCATAATATTTTAGTTGAGATTTCTCAGTGAAAACCAACCAAATTTAATAATTTATTCTAGGGATAATCACTTAAAAGGAGAACATATTATTTGATTTGTACACATTTAGTCATTGACTTATTTTTATGTTCTGATTTACCCTTTCAACTTGTTAAACTGTAGATGTTTAATCCTTATGATCGGCTACTTCAGGTTAGCCGGTAAAAATAACTTAATATGGTAATATATTTCTCACTTTGTACACATTTAATCGTTAATATTTTTGTACACATTTAGGCCTTAATATTTTTTGTTGCAAAATAAGTCATTTTTGTTTTTTACTCATTCAGTAGTTATGAATGATTTCTTTAGGTTTTTCTCACGACATCTTACGTGGGATATGTAACATCCGGACCTCCAGGTATATTATTTATTTATTTTGTTTTCAGGACTATTGACCAACTCAACGAGTTGGTGCTATAACTCGTCGAGTAGAGTCGCGTTGGCTACGCGGGATTAATAATCTACTCGGCGAGTCAGAGAGTCGACTCACCAAGTAGACGTTGTGAAGTGAAACCTTAAATCCCCGGGTTTGGGGCCTATTTAAGGGCGCTTATAGCCTCATTTGCAGCTCATCATCTGCTTACCTTCACTGAGAGAAACTCTAATCGGCCTTTCAGCTAATAGAGAGAGAGTGTGAGCTAATATTGAGTATCTTGGTGCATCTTTGGAAAAGAAGAGAAGGAGTTCAAGCAAGGAACGAGAGGAGGCTATTAGATAAGTTGCTATTCATCAAAGAGCTTCTATAAAAGGTATAAAGTTTATACCTTTCTCATTAGTTTGGGTAGATCTCATATTATTGAAGTTTAGGGCTTATTTTCTATCTAATATTAGGACTTTGAGTGTTTTAACCACATATAGAGATTTAGACATCAGATTTGGACCTTGTGAGATCCCTAGAGTCTTAAGGTCTCTGCTTTATTCAGCCATAATAGGTCCTTGAGTGAAAAACCCTTAATGAAGCATGTTTTTGGCATTTCAAGCCTTAAGTGCCATGCATGAACGTAAAGCTCGTGGCTTTACGTGATAATCGAGCCTTGAGAGCTTAGATCTAGAGTGTGAGAGGGTTTGCTGCCTTGAAATTGTCTATTTACAACATGGTTCTGAATGGACTCGCCGAGTTGATGAGCCAACTCGACGAGTCAGTTAGGGTTTGTCCCGATGAGTTGGCCATGCTATAGCTCGGTAAGTTAGGGGTTAACTCGACGAGCTTGACCTTCACTAGACTTTTGAGGAGAAAGTGGACTCGACGAGTCACATGAGTGCACTCGGCGAGTCAAGTTAAACCTGGATTGTTAAATCGATTTTGACTTTTTTTGACTTTAGGGTTTGGTCAGCACGAGTAATGGAGACCATGGAGGGGTAAAATGGTCGTTTACCTATTCCAAGATTTAGAGAGAGAGAGAGAGAATAACCTTTGGTGTATTTGAGTATGAGTTGAGTATTAATTTGAGATAATTATCATATGTGTTAGGCGGAGGCTAGTTCGAGATTTCCGAGTACGATACTTTTACTTGCTAGCTTACGAGGTAAGTCTTCTCACTATACTTACCATGAGTGGTATTTTTGTGTGACTGCGATGTTTTATGTGCTTATCTGTGTATTGTGATACTATGCATTTTGTATTTGTGGTTTATGCTTATTGTTATTAACTTATTGAGTTAGGGCCAGAGGGTCCACCTGAGTTGTGGGACCGGAGGGTCTCCACTTGAACACATTGACCAGAGGGTCGTATTGAGTTAGCCTCGAGTGGCTAATGTGATGTGTGTGGTGTTTTGGGGAACTCGCTAAGCTTCGTGTTTACCGTGTTATGGGTATGTGTTTCAGGTACTTCTCAGGATCGTGGGAAAGCACCGGCTTGATTGTACACACACTCGCTTGAAGATTTGTTTTTGGAGGATCCTGGATTTGATATATACAGTTTTTGGATATGAGATTTGATGATTTGGCATGTGACATTTTCTGATTTTATTATTAAGATAAAGGTGTTTTTAAATTGAAATATTGGGTTTAAAATACTATGTTATTACAAGATACTCATATGGTGGTGGGATAGGTTCAGGTGATCCTGTTATATGTTGTAGGTCAAGATACCTTTTGCGGGCTGGCTGTAAGTCATAGGCACGAAGACTCGAGATGAGCGGTTGGGTTAAGGCAACATTCTGACAAACCCTGGGTATTCCAGTCCGATGACTGATTGGATTTGTTGCATGTTGGCATTCTAGTCCGATGACTAATTAGGCCAAGGTATTCCAATCTGATTAGTGTGTACTCGTTATGCATGATAATATGTTTGTTGTATCGGTAATTTTGGGTGAAACTCACTAAACTTTGTGCATACCCAGTTATTTATGTTTTCAGGTTCTATCGTTAATCGTGGGAAAGCGAATGCATGACTGTATACACTCATCAATAGTATTGATGATTCTGTGTTTCTTATATTATTTTCATTTTCGTTAAATGTATTTTGGAATAAACGTTTTTTTTTCTTAATAATGGATTTATAATTAGGGACTTTTGCCTTATCTAAAAATGAAAATTTTTTGTTGTGAAAATGAGACGTTATACATAAACATCAACAGCCACACACGCTTCATCAATGATTGTCCCACATTCATAAGTATTGAATGAGTATAAAAAATGTCTTATTTTGAAACAATATATATATATATATATATATATATATATATATATATATATATATATATATATATATATATATATATAATGACTAAATGTGTATAAAATTATTAATAACTCAATGTGTACAAAATGAGAAGTATATTACCCTATTAAGTCATTTTTTCCGACTAACCGAGGGTAATCGGTCATAAATACTGAATGTGTACTGTTTAACAAATTGAATAGATAAATATAAACGAAATAATAAAGTCAGTAACCAAGTAACCAAATATATCCAAATAAAAAATATATTACCTTTAAGTCATTCTTATTCTATGTCAACCACTTTCACGAATCCTCTCGTCAAGTCGTCATATATACGCCCCTTGTTTAGAGATCGATCATTTCATCATATTTTATATATTACCAATCATGGTGAGGTTTTCCAAGAGCAAGTAGGGGCACCTTTCTGTGATTAGCAAGACCAAAAGTTTCATTCATATCAACGTCCTTTGGTCTTACACCCGATGGCAGCGACCAATCAAATATGGATAGAACAGTCACCATCACCTTCTCATTAATGGCCATGGCAAAGACCCTTCCAGGGCAACCCCTTCTTCCCGCACCAAACGTAAGTAACTCGAAATTATGCCTTACGAAATCAACAGAGAAATCCAAGAACCTCTCTGGAAGAAACATTTCAGGATTCTCCCACACTTTAGGATCCCTCATAATCGCATAAGCATTCACATATACCCTTGTTCCTTCTGCAATATCGTACCCCATCACCTCGACATAACGTCGTTTGTAAGTGAGCTAAACAAATCGCTCAAGTCTGCAGGCATGTTAGACAAGAAACAATGGGTTATCTTATCTACACACTCGGCGATTACCTTTTCCCTGAATCCATTAAAACTTTGGACCTTTTTGTTACTTAGAGGGTGTTTGGATAGGGAAAAAAATGACAGCTTATTGCTTATTGCTTATTTTCACCACAATAAGCTAATTTAAGTGTTTGGATAGGATGCTTAAAAAATTAGCTTATTGCGGTGGGAATAAGCTAAATAAGCTGATTTTAATAAGCAAGGGGGGTAATGCTTATTGCTTATTGTTTATTGCTTATTAGTCATTTTACTCATATAAGCTGTTTTGTTTGCCAAACACTTCAAATGCTTATTGCTTATTGTTTATTCCCACCGCAATAAACTAATCCAAACACATTTTAAAAAAATGTTTATTCCCACCACAATAAGTAATAAGCAATAAGCTAATTAAGCTAAAAATGCATTTATCCAAACACCCTCTTAGAAGCTGGAGGGTAATTAGAACGCTCTTTGCTTCACTAGTACAGAATAGCTTTTGTAGTGCGAATATTTGTTCTTTTTTGAGGCGGTTATTTTAGGAAACCGCCTCATCAAATCGATGTAGCACTAAAAAACACGAAAACCGCATTAAAAGAGCAACAAAAAATTCCTCCAACAGATTTATTAATGCGGTTCACCAAAAAAAGCATTAAAAACGATTTTTTGATGCTATTTGCTATAAACGCACTATTAAATTATGATTTTTTGGTGCGTTTTTTTCTAACCGCTTCATTAAACAACGATTTTTTGGTGCCATATTCAAAAACCGCTTCATTAAATTATGATTTTTTAGTGCCATATTCGAAAAACCGCATCAATTATGATTTTTTTGGTGCGTTTTTTTCTAACCGCTTCATTAAACAACGATTTTTTGGTGCCATATTCAAAAACCGCTTCATTAAATTACGATTTTTTAGTGCCATATTCGAAAAATCGCATCAATTAAAAGCTAATCATTCTCAGTGCGAGGGTTTCTCTTCTTTGTAAATGTGAACATTCTTCTTCGACGAAATCCCTATGCAAGTTACAAAAACTCAAAATAGCCTCATTAAATTGTCTAGTTATCTTCATTAAAGGTAAATTAAATTTTATTGTTCTTTTGATTTTATATTACCTGTTTATTTATTAAATGATTGTTTAATTGTTATTTTAAATTGATTTGTATAGATTATTAAAATGTTAAAATTTACATAACCTGTTTGTTGAAAATCGATATATTACATTGTTTGTTTGTTTATTTTAATTTTCAGATGACTCGTGATTATTGGATGTACAAAGCTTCATGTTTTTCTGAACTTTATATAGAGGGTGTTCGAACTTTTATTAGGGTTGCCGAAGCAAATCGCGTGAATAATGGAAATGAATCGATTTCTTGTCCTTGTAACCTTTGTAAAAACTTTAAAACGTTTAATTTTATTAGAGAAATAGAGTATCATTTGTTGCAAAATGGTTTTGTGCCTAATTACACTTGTTGATCAAGACTTGGAGAAACACTTCTTGATTGTGGCACATCGTCGAGCAATATAAATATTCATAATAGTACATACAACAATGATTCATATGTTGATGAAGATGATCATCATTCAAATGAACCAAATGACAATTTCAATGAAATGTTTGATGACATGGAGACTAACATGGATGATGTTGAACAAGAAAAGTTACAACGCGTATTTGAAGAAGCGGAAACACCGTTATATAGCGGTTCCAAATTTATGAAACTCGATGTGGTATGTAGGTTGATTAACTTAAAGTCGAAAAACGGATGGACTAATAAAAGTTTCACAAGTCTATTATAGGTTTTGCATGACATTCTTCCGGAAGATAATGTATTACCCATTTCTACATATCAAGCAAAAAAGCTAATGTGTCTGATGGGATTGGAAGTTGAAAGAATACATGCATGTCCAAATAATTGTATGTTGTACAGAAAGGAGTTCGAGAATAAACATAATTGTGTTTTTTGCGGTGCATCGAGGTATAAACGGAAAAAAGATTCGGATGAAGTAGATGATGATGTGACGAAAAATGGACCACCGGCTAAAATATTATGGTATCTCCCTATTATACCAAGACTAAAAAGGTTATTTTCAAACGAAAAAGAAGCAAAGTTACTTTGTTGGCATTCGGAAGAACGTGTAACTGACGGAAAACTAAGACATGTTGCAGATTCACATCAGTGGAGAAATATTGATAAGAAGTATCCTGAATTTGGAAAAGAGATGAGAAACATACGGTTTGGGCTGAGTTCAGACGGGATCAATCCTTTTGGGAACATTAGCAGTCGTCATAGTACATAGCCGGTTCTTTTATGCATTTACAATCTTCCACCATGGTTATGCATGAAACGAAAATACATTATGATGTCGTTGGCCGAGACAACCTGGTAACGATATTGATGTGTATTTGTCTCCTTTGATTGATGACTTAAAAACTCTTTGGAGTTCGGGTGTAGATGTATATGATGCTTATAAGAAACAACACTTTCAATTGTGGACCATGATTTTTTGTACTATAAGTGATTTTACAGCATACAGTAACTTGTCAGGATACAAAACAAAGGGTAAGAAAGCTTGTCCAGTTTGTGAAGATCAAACAAGCTCAATATGGTTAACAAATTCCAAAAAAACTGTATACATGGGACATCGAAGATTTCTTCCTAAGGGTCACCGTTTTAGGAAGAAAACTATTGAGTTTGATGGAAGTATTGAGATCAGAACGATGAGGAAACGATTTGATGCATTTTCACGAGTTGCAAGTTTAAATGTTGTGTTGGGAAAAAGATTTCGTGTTGATAAAAATGCCCTTCGGAAAAAAAAAGTCAATTTTTTTTTAATTGCCTTACTGGAGAGATTTGGATGTTAGACACTGTCTAGATGTTATGCATATAGAAAAAAATGTATGCGAGAGCTTGATATGCTTATTATTAGAGATGAAGCATAAAATTAAAGAGGTTAATGCGGACATGGCCGAGATGGGGATACGTGAAGATCTTGTCCTCGAACAGAGTGCTAACGGTGTTTATCTCCCACCTGCTTGTTATACTACATCAAAAGAAGAAAAAATAAAGTTTTTCAATGTTTACATGATATTAAGGTCCCATCAACTTATTATGCAAACATTAAAAGATTTGTGTCGATGAAAGACTGTAAATTGTTTGGAATGAAGTCTCATGATTGTCATGTTTTGATGACACATATGATTCCTATCGCAATTCGTGGAATTTTACAAGATGATGTCCGGCATTCTATCACTAAGCTTTGTTTGTTTTTTAACAACATTCACTCAAAGGTTATTGATGTAGAAGATTTGGATCAATGGGAGAAAGACGTTTATGTTACACTTTGTGAACTAGAGATGCACTTTCCACCCTCATTTTTTGATATAATGGTTCACCTCATATCTCATATCGTACAAGAAATTAAGGCTTGTGGTCCTATATTCTTACGATACATGTACCCTTTTGAAAGATACATGGGTATCCTAAAAGGTTATGTAAGAAACCGTAATCGGCCAGAGGGCAGTATTGTTGAAGGGTATACTTGTGAAGAGGTTATTGAGTTCTGCCAAGGTAATCCTATTAATAATATATTACAGTTATAACAATCTATAATATTTTATATATAATATTAATATTTTTTGTAGGCTATATGAAAGATGTCGAAAGTGTTGGTGTTCAAAAACTCGTCATTCAGGTCGACTTGAAGGAAAGGGAGGAGTCGGTTGCAAAATAAACATGCCAACTTATGAAGAGTTACAAGTTGCACATTTAGTGGTCCTAAAACACATGAAATGTCTTGCTCCTTACGTTGATGAACACATGGACATGTTAAAGTTGAAATACCCGGGTAAGGAAAAAATGTGGTACATAAACAATCATAACAAAGAGTTTTCGAGTTGGCTGGAAAAGAAGGTAGCAGAAACGGATGTTGATGAAACCGTGAAAAGGTTGGGACGTGGGCCAGATTGTAGAGTTAAATCTTATCAAGGGTACGACATTAACGGTTATACATTTTACACCAAAGATCAAGATGAAAAAAGTACAATGCAGAATAGTGGAGTTACAATGATAGCATCAACGACCGAATTCGATAGACGGGATCATGATACTTTGATAAGAATAGCCAAAGATTCTTATTACGGTGTTATACACAAAATTTGGGAGTTGAATTATTATGACTTCGTTATTCCTGTGTTCAAATGTAAATGGGTGAATAATCGTACAGGTGTTCAAGTTGATAAAGATGGTTTTACACTTGTTGACCTTTCAAGTAATGGCTATGTATCTGAGCCATTCGTTCTCGCAAAACATGTCACACAGGTTTTCTATATCAAAGACCCAAGCAAGAAAAAAGAGCACATCGTCTTACAAGGCAAACGACGTATTATTAGTGTTGATGATGTCGTTGACGAAGAAGAATACGACCACTTTGATGATCTACCACCATTTTCGGTTGGTATTGAACCCGGTAATTACGATAATATTGAACGCACAACATTTGTACGATCTAACATAGAAGGGACATATGTTGATTAAGTGCATGGATTGTTTTTTTTTTTCTTTTTTGAATGTTGTTTTTACATGAATTTTGTATGAAATACTATCTATTGATAAATAATAACAATATTGCCCTTATCTTTTGATAATTATAATGTTTGTATAATTGTTATAAGAAATATCAAATAACATTTATAAGTATCAGTTAAGACTTTTTTTATCTGCGGTGTTTGATCACTTGTGATGGCATTTAATATTAGGCATTTACTAAATAGGTAATCTACTTTTTTGGTGAAAACCGCCCTAATAAATAAACAAACCGCTTGAAAAAAACGAAAACCGCATCAAAAGATATACTTCTAGTTTTTACGTGGAAACCGCCCTAAAAAATAAAAGTAACCGCCTCAAAAGACAAAGAAAGCATCAAAAAAAAATACAAAACCGCCTCAAAAAATACGTATAAAAAGAAGCTAAAAATAGCATCAAAAAATCGATAAACGCATAAAAACATATTGAGTTTTGATTGAGTAGTATTTTAGAAAAGATAATTATATATTGCTATTTTTTAGAAAAACTAAATTATTTAATTTAAAAAAATTTAAAAAAACAACGAGTAATATTTTTTTAATTTTTACATTCAATTAATATACAAACTATTGGTAAAATGAAAAATATATATATATTATTGCTAAGTCCACGATGAGTAATGGGTTTGCGACCTGACTCGCCGAGTACACCTTGTGACATCTCTATTATGTCGATTACAGTCCATTCCAACACCTTCAACTCATAGATCTGGACTTCTAATGCCAGCTTTGCATGTAAAGTTGCTAACTTTAGGTGCATGCAAGGTGTTATGAGGCTAGAACACTCAATCCAACTCTGGATCTGTAACGACCCAATTTTCAAGTCCAAAAAATTTTATTTAATTAACTGACTCATAAAAATATTCTTAAGAAAATACTATGAAATCACATCATCTCATAGACCGGATGCTAGGGGCTATTTCACCCCTACTAGTACCACATAGCATGTAACACATAACCATATTCTATCTAGTATGACTAGGTATGACCACCCCCTTTTGGCTTCTCTTTCCTCAAAAACGATTTAGCTCACTTAGGGTTTCTCTAAGGGACTAGTAGCCGCAATGAGAGGCTATGAGTGCCCTTAAATAGGTCCCTTGCAATGAGAGGCTATGAGTGCCCTTAAATAGACTCCTAAGATCCATCTAGCACGTAAAGTTACGAACTTTACATGCATGCATGGGACTATGAGCTCAAAAGACCCTAAAATGGCTCTTATGTCGCAAGGTACCTTCCATGGGTGCAAAAAGCAACTCCAATCTACCTTGTGACCCCTCCCAGTCCACATGGTCCACTCTCTGAGTCTATAGTATAATTGGTCCGCCCTCTTGGGGCCTTCAGCCTATCCGGACCGCTCGCCGAGCCTTCGGTCTAACTAGTCCGCCTTAGGTATATTGGCCTACAGCACAAAGCAGGACCCGCCTCAACCCAACCCCAATCCAACAACCATGTGCACATAAACATGTAATCATATAACATCTCACAACTAATCAAAGTCCTTCTTGAGCCATTTCCAAGCTTGATTATGAATTAGGGTTTGTAATAAGCTGATTAACCTTTAGATCTAGGTATGGTTGAGCTCCAGGCGATCGGATCTACTGCCTTTATGGAGCCATATTGCATGAAAGCCCTAGATGTACTTTGTTAGTGCATTTTGAGCCCTAAAACCTTCATTGTGTTTGTTTACACGTAAAGTTGGAAACTTTACGTGATAATCGAGCCCTAGGAACCCAGATCTATGTATGGCATGAGCTGGAATCAAGCAAAATCGAGCATATAGTATTTACATGCGAAAGACTCGGCGAGTCGTTCATCGGACTCGGCGAGTCGAGTACCCGATCGTAGTAGGGGGTGAAATACTCCCCAGTACCCGGTCGAGAGGACAAAGGGGTAGGTCAGGCACCCAGATATGCCTGACAATATATGTAGGTTATGCGATTGTATGACATGTGGTATGTTGGGGGAACTCACTAAGCTTCGTGCTTATAGTTTTCAGTTTTGGTTTCAGGTACCTCTTCTTCGATGGGGAAGGAGCTGGCGCGGTAGCGGCACATCACACACATGCCTCGTATTCCGCACTATGAGATCTTCTGGGGATTTATACTCTGACATTATTATGTTTTATAAAATGTTTTTCCAGACATGCGATATCTTTTATGAAATGATATGATCGGTGAACGTTGTATTTCTAATGTTTTGCTAAGTACATGTTTAAAATGAAATTTTTGGCCCGTATTTTTTGGATGTTACACATATAGAGGCTTTTCAAGCCATGCAGTACTCCAATCCATAGATCCACTCTTCTACAGCCTAACCCTCACATAAAGTTGCAAACTTTACGTGAAAAGCAAGGAGATATAAGCCCAAAACACTTCTAGGGATAGGGTTTAAGACAAAGGGCTTCACCAATGACTCTTAGACAGGAACTTTATGACCTTTTGGGCCATCACAAGTCTAGATCTGAAGTAGCAACTTCAGATCTAAGCCTCAAACTCGAGATAGCTCCCAAACAAGCTAATGAATCCCAAATCAACCACCATTCATGAATCAATAATGAAATAGCTTAAGGAGGAGGTTCCTTACCCCTGAAATGTGCCCAAACAGAAGTAGATTCCAGATCTACCCAAGCCCCTTGATGATGGCCTCCAAATCCCCAAGCTTCTTACACTAAGAACCCTAACCAGAATCGCGACATGACTCGCCGAGTCTATCCATTGACTCGCCGAGTCGACCTTCCTTGTTTACACTAAGAACCTTGAACTTGCACCAAACTCGAATCCTTCAGTCTCCTCGTGAGTTACCTTCTATGCTCTTCTTCTCCCTTGTGTTCAAAACCCATAAAAATCACTCAAAAGCCTTAGATCTTGCACCAAAACACTTAGGGTTTGCTATGGATGGTTTCTGGGAGCAATAGGGATGAGTGGTGGCTGAAAGAGACGATTAAATAGACTCGACGAGTTGACCCCCTTTTGACTTAGGGTTTCCTTTTCTTTCTTGGTCTTTCTGATTTTTGTTGTTACACGTAAACCCTAACCCCTGAACACTAAACCTTGAACCTTAAACCATAAACCCTAACCTTTAAACACTAAACCATAAACCCTAATCCCTATACCCAAACACTAAATCCTTAAACCCAAAACTCCAAATTAAATCCACAAACAGTAAATCGTATACAGTAAATCGAACATGACTATACACACCGACTCGAGGTGGGTTTTTGGAATTGATATTGAATTGGTTATCATTTCATGAATTTTAAAATTATAACTAATAATGTTCGAAAACTGAATTGACCTTGGGTTTGATATTTCATTTGTTTCGAATAAAATACATTAAATATATGATTTTATGTTATTTTAAAAAGTTCAAATTTATTGGAAATTTTAGGATGTTACACCACTAAACACTAAGCAGCATGTTCGGTCTTAGGTAGACACTAAAGGCTAAACCATGCACCTTAAACATTAAAACATTGAAACTTAAACCATAATTTTTTAAATTTTGGAAGTATATATTATGTTTTTATTGTTTTTGTAATACTTATTTTTAGAATTATATATAATTAATTATGAGTCATAACTAAATATTAAATTGAATAATTTCTAAAAATAATTTTTATAAAACCAATATAATTGCTAAATAGTAATGACCGCATAAGAATTGCACCGCCTCATAAAAAACATCGCTCCACAATAGTTGCACCATAAAAATACCTAAATCCTTATTTATATTATTAATTTATGATTATGATTAAAAAAAAAAAAAAAAAAAAAAAAAAAAACTTAAAAAGTTAAAATGAAAATCATCGCATTAAAATATAAAAAAAAAAAAAAAAAGTTAAGGAAACCGCCTTATAAAATAGGAAGGAACCGCCTCAAAAAAGTGAACCCGCATTAAAAGAAAATCACCGCCTCATAAAATCATCCGCCCACAGTCAATACCTCAAGTTTAACCTCCTGTTGTTTTCTAAATTTTTCACTGCGCGCCATCTCGAAACCTCCATAGCGATTCGTAAACCCTTGCCGTCGCCGACGGAAATCCCGGTTTTAGTGGACGGCTAAGTTGACGCTGGGGCCTCCACAAGTCTCCGCGGTAAACCTCCACAGCTCTCGTATGAAACCTCCACAAGTCTCGGCCACATTTTTTGTTTTGAGTTGCTTTGTCGTTAAAGTATATTTACATTGATTTGTTGGTGGTGTATATATATTGCTTTGTTTTCAAAAGTTTATTCTTAAAAAGTGTTTGGAATCTTTTAGAATTGATCGTGACTTGTCTCGTGTCGTATAGCTTTAGAATTTTTAGAATCTGTAAAGTATTAATTTGTTGTTGTGAAAAAGTGTTATTACTTTACATTATAGTTTAGAATCTTTAGAATGCATAAACGTGTAATTGTCTCCTGGCTAATAAATGTAATACTTGGCCCCACATATATGGGGTCTACCAATTTATTGGATCGATCCTTCTTTTTCATTGGATTATGTTAGATTCTTGTTTTGTATTCATGGAATATACTATTGTATTGGATTATGTTTTTTGTTCTTATGTTATGTTTGTCTTCTATTATCCATGGATAAAAATTTTTTAATTTGTTTAATGTTGTTAGGCTTGTAAAAATGGAAAATGTACGACCAAAAAAAAGAGGTGAACGTGGTATTGCTGCATTTAAGTCAAAGATTTCTCCGGAAAAATATAAAGTGAAGTTTGATAAAAATAATATCCCAGACGATGGCATGCCAGCACAGTTTAGTTCTTGGTTTGGCATGAAGGTTCGACGCAGTTTTCCTATAGATATAGAGTCGCGTAAAGCTGGAGAAAAGTATTTTAAAGATTTATGGTTGGAAACTAAGGTATTTATATTTTAATTTATTGCAAATATAAATAACTTGTTAATTAATTATTATGTTTAACATATTTTGTTTTGAAATTGTAGAAACAGTGGAACATCGAGTCTAATGATCAGGAAAAATATTTGAAGAGGAAAGCTGTAAAACTTGCATCAAATTTTAAATCATTCCTTGTTTCAAATTTTGTGAATCAAGAATTGAATGCTTGTCTCAAATATGATTTTATAAAACCTGATGAATGGGAAAGATTTGTTGCACAAAAAACTACTCCTGAGTTTTTGGTATGTTTTAATTGTTTATTTATTTATTTATTTATTTATTTATTATTATTATTATTATTATTATTATTATTATTATTATTAACAATTTGTTGATATGTGTGAAGGCAAGAAGTGCAAACGCTAAAGAAAGCAATGTGAAAAGGATATTCAATACACGTTTAGGTCGAAGTGGATGGAAGGGTCTTGAAAAAAAAGGCATATTATATGGCCTCAACTTGTAGCCAAATACGAGTTTCTGGGTCGTATACAAAATGAGCGCTCTATGTTATATTTAATGGCTTTCGCATTAATTAACCCAGAAACAAATACGTACGATCTTCCCCAAGGGGCAATTAAAGATTTTCAATTTTTGGTAAACAATTATTTTTTTTCAATTTATATATGAAGATTTTGATTTTTCAGTAGATATATCTTTACAAGTATTTTTTTTCTTCATAGGAACAAGAAGAGAAAAGAATGATAGCTGATGGGAGTTATTTCCAAAATAAGGAAGACCCATTAGTTAGACTTTTGGGACGCGAACACGGGGGGCGATCACGGACAATATCTAATATCATTGGCCATACCCAGGTTTATGGTGGATTGTTCAAAAATGTGGAAAATAGTAGAACCACGAGACCGAGACAACAGGTTGACATGATCCCATCATTGCATGAATCTAGTGGTGCATCTGGTGGACGGTTGACAGAATACCCACCTATTAAGGTAATATATTTATAGTTTTCATATAAACGATATATATATATATATATATATATATATATATATATATATATATATATATGTATGTATGTATATTATAAGTTATGTTTTTTATATTATATTTACAAAAAAAGTTGTATGATTCACAGGTTAGGACAGAATGTGAATTGCTAGTGAATGTGGTTGATACTCAATTGATAGTAGCTAATGGTATTGCATGGCCAACATCTGAAACGGTCATACATTCACAACCAATAAGTACAGGTTGTGTGAAAGTACAGGTTGATGAAATCGTCAAAATATATGAGAACTTGCCTGTGCATGCCGTCACACGGACGGAAGAAGTTGAATATGTTAAACATCTTCTACATACCATCGTTCAGTGGCCGAGATATGCAATAAAGGTATATTTATATTTAAATATAAATATATATATTTTAATATATGTTTATTTAAATATTACAAAATATTGTAGCTTGTGAACAAGACACCTAGCAAATCAAATAGTGGCACGGGAATGGGGTCGAATCGCGCCTCACCACACATACATGTTGATGACATCATGACGACTTCAGCTTATCGTCCACAAGTATTCAACCAATTCACTCTTATTTTTTGTTAATTTAGTATTATTTTCATAATATTATAACAATTTTTAATTTTTTTGTTATTTTAGTTTGAGGACAACCACATTGCTTATCAACATGAAATTAATGAACATTTTCAAGGTGGTTTAGTTGATATGGTTAGTCTTAAAAAACTTGTTTTATGCTCATTTTTAGACATATTATGATTTTTTAGATGTTTTATGTTTGTATATAATCATATCTAATTACTAATGTTTTGTGTTTGTCTGTAGATGTTATCTATGAATCCACCACAAGTTCATTTAAATGCACCCAAACCCAGAGCCAGACCCGAACCCGAATCCGAATTTGAATCCGAACTCGAATATGAATCCGAATCCGAATCCGAAACCGAACCTGAATTCGTTACACATGATGAACCTGACTTGTTTACATCCTTGAGCAAATTACAAGAACAAAGACCTCAAATTCAATCTGTTGGTTTTCAAGTAGTAGAGTTTTTTGGGAATGCAAATGTTGTTAATATTTTTTCACCCAAAGGGATGTATCGCCGTAGGGTTCAAATTACCATCCAGTATATCGAGGTATTACAACTATTTTTAAGAGATTGGCTTGATCAAAGCATTATTCATTGGTTTGCAATGTAAGTTATTATTATATTTTTTAATATGGTATTATAACTTTTTAGATATAATTAATTTTTACTAACATTCTGTAATATATATAGGCTTCTTTTTAGGTCGCCCAATTCTGAATGTGCTTTTTTTGATCCGCTTTGCATTGCACGCTTAAATACTAAAACAGACATGTCGCCCGTCACTAAACATATCGAAGAAGTATTTTCGTATCATAAAAGCAAACGATATTTTCTTGCTCCATATTTACAGGGGTAATTTTTTTTCTTTCCATAATACGTTCACATACATATACACACTACACTTATATAAATACACAGTACACATATATGCTTACTTGTTAAATAATTCTTATTTTTGCAGTATGCATTGGTTGCTTTTTATCCTATGTCCTGAAAGCAAATGTGGTTATATTCTTGATTCTTTATGTGAAAAGAACCAAGAAAAGAAAAAAGACGCTTACCACTTTCCTTCTTTCATTGATAATGTTTTCCCGGGACGAGTTAATAAGTGGGAAACAGTAAAGGTATTTTTCTATTAATTTTTATCAATGTATTTCAAGTGGTTTGAAATAGTTATTGTGAATTAAATACAGTGCTACAAACAAAAAGGTGGATGGGAATGTGGATTTATAGTAATAAAACATATGAAGGAGTTTGTTGAAAATAAAGTAAGTATTTTGTATAGATTTAAAATATCAATATTTTGTGTGTGTGTGTGTCTATATATATATATATATATATATATATATATATATATATATATATATATATATATATATATATATATATATATATATATATATTGTTTGTTTGTTTGTTGCAGTTATGGAAAAAGAAGAGTTTTGTTACGCCCGTTAAACTTGAAGATATGGTCTCAGAAATAATACCTCGTTTAATTAAGATGGTGAACGATAGTCGGAAAAGAACTTTCTAAGAATTATAATGTTTTGTGTTTTATTATAACTAAAATGTAAATTAGAAATTGTTGGTTTTTTGTATAATGAAGTTTTGTTAAATACTATGTTTTTGTTTATTAATGATTTTTAAATGATATATTATTTTTTATAGTGCGGTTTTGTTTTTGTGATATATATATATATATATATATATATATATATATATATATATATATATATATATATATATTATTTAATAAGACGGTTTCTTATTTTTTGGCTCCATTATTTAATAGAGCGGTTTCCGATTTTTGGTGCGATTATTTAATAAGGCGGTTGTTTATTTTTTGGTGCTAATATTTAATAGTGTGGTTCCTTATTTGTTGGTGCAATTAGTTAATAGGGCGGTTTTTGATTTTTTAGTGCTAATATTTAATAGAGTGGTTGCTGATTTTTTAATGCGGTTTGTTATTTTAATTTTGATATCTTATAAGGCGGTTTCTAGTGTTTTTTAATGCGGTTTGTAAACCGCATCATCAAATATACTATTTTTTAGTGCCATATTTTTTGGTGCGGTCAGAAAACCGCATCAACAAACTATATTAACCGCATCATCAAATCTCTTCTGTACTAGTGCTTGCCTCCATATTCACCATAAGGAGCGACTGTTATTTCCTTGAGATTGTAGGAGATAGTTCTGAACATCCTTGTGTTTGGTCTACTAGCAAATGCTATATATATCATGTGTTTTCATGATCTCGCGAGCTGCATCGGAATAAGAGACCACTAGGCTTGGGACTGAGCCGATGTACAGGAGCATCAGAGAATCACCATGACGTTTGGCAAGAGAGAAGGAGTGGTGGACGCTTGCACCCAGCTGGTGGAGGTTGCCGATAACCGGCAACTTTGGTGGTGACGGTGGTAGTTTCTTGGTGGTGGTGGGTGATGATGTGGAATGGTACCATCTAAACAGCATGAACGCAACACCGAGAAACAGCGGCAAGGTGTAGATCGATACCTGCTCCAAGAAACTCCACATCTTGTCTAAATATTGCCGGAGAGTGAATTAATTCAGGGGTACGTCGAAGTTTGTATTACAGGAGACCATATATATTGCATCGTCTATTTATAATCAAAAGTCTTTAGACAATTCGCCGGGATTAAGGGACCAGTATAATGAAATATATATTTAGTTAAAACAAATGACAATGATGGCTTTTGACTTTTAAATAACACATATACTAATGAGATTGAATAATATATAAATAGTAACTTACAAGAATCTGTCCAGGTAGTGTGCTTCAAATTGTATGTTTAATAATTCATTTTTATTTTTTATTCGAACTGTCCTTGTTAGATGGGCAATATATAGTTATTCTATGTATTGGATTTAAGGGTGTTTAAAAACGGATATCCGAAATTTTAGATATTCGGATTTTTGACTTGATATCCAAAATATCTTTCTTTTAAAACCAAAAAATTCATCCAATTCATTTATATAAGTCTCGATAACACAAAATACAAATTAGGTTCCGGCTATATAGTGATGGAAACCCTTCTCAGTAGTTTTTCTACCCTATTTTAAATCAATTGTACGTAATTACTCTCCATTCCTATTCATAATCGCGATGGAAGGTTTAAACGTGGCAATCAAAATGGCCATTGAAAAAGGCATATTTAAAGGTATACGAATCTCGGGTGGCGGTCCTTTGATATCGCACCTTTTCTACATGGATGACACATTGTTTGTGGGGGAATGGTCGAAAACAATTCTTAATAATCTTGCGAGAATTCTGAAGTGTTTTCAAGTGTATTCGGGTTTGAAGGTAAACTTTCAAAAATAAGAGTGTTTGGGATTGGAGCACCAACTGGTGAAACATCTCAATGGGCAAACATCATGGGATGCGAAGCAGGTTCTCTACCGTTCACCTATCTAGGCGTTCCGGTGGGCTCAAATATGAATTTGGTGAAAATTTGAAAGCTTGTTATCGAAAAATTTCGCAATAAGTTATCAAGATGGATATCCAAAACTATGTCATTTGGCGGACGTCTCACGCTAATCAAATCGGTCTTGGGAAATTTACCAACTTACTACCTAAAGAACTGTCATTTGGAGTCATCGAATCTCTAGAGAAGATCAGGAGGAGGTTCTTATGGGGTGGAAACAAAGAAAAGATAAAAATAAACTATGTTTCTTGGGAGAAGGTGATCGCTCCTAAAGAACTTGGTGATCTGGGAGTGTGTTCGATTAGGGCATTGAATATGGGTCTAATCGTCAAGTGGTGGTGGAGATTAAAAAGGGAGCTGGATTTATTATGGGCCAAAGTTATTACTGGCTTACATAACTTATATAATAAGCCCACTGAATACTTGTCGAAAAGAAGGATAACATGGGTGTGGAATAATATTGCGGGAACTAAAAAAGACTTGGAAGCTATGGGTATCAGTTTTAGTGGCATCTTTAAGCAGATTGTCAAAACATGGGATAGAACTCAATTTTTGTGGGATAAGTGTGTTGGTGATAGTAGTCTCAAATCTAAATACCCTAACCTAAATAAGGGCATCCACAATGCATTGAACTCCATAGAGTTTAATGGATTACCACATCATCATTCTTAAATTTATACAACTCTATTATTGTTTTCTTTACAATGCATTGAACTCTACAAAGTTCAATAGAATGTTACAAAATATAATTTATTGTAAATATTTAAGGATTAAAACTTTCCTTTTTCCCATTGAAGAGTTCAATGGCCATTGAACTCCAAATCCATTGAATGCCAAAGTGGCATCTCACAATGGTTGAGTTCCATCCATTGAATGACACATGGACTTGTCACCTCATTCAACTCTCTCATTGAACTCACCATTGTGGATGCTCTAATCTTAAGAAGGAAAAATCGTCTCTTGTGGTGGATAGAAGAAGCATTGATGGGCAAAATTGGAAATGGAAAGCTTGTCCTATCGTTGCCAATTTGTCCAATGACTTAGTTCATTTGACAAATGAGGTGGCTACTACATATATACAATGGACATGACCACTTGTCTTGTGTGTTGGCAACTGATGGTCATTATAAGGTGGCTTTGTTGAGGAAAAGAATTGATCACAAACCAACTCCAAATTTCAACCAGATGGACATCCGATGGTGCAAACTAATCCCAATTAAGGTGTCGGCGTTCGTATGGTGAGCAGCTCTTAGTAGTATTCCTTTTGCGGTAGCTCTTGTACACAAAGGTGTGGCTCTAGATACCGTTCTATGCAATTCCTGTATCAATGAGGTGGAACGCTCAGACCACTTTCTGGTTAAATGCCCTTACGTGAGGTCTGTCAGGAAATCTATATTCGATTGGTGTGGGATCAAAGCAATGGAAGTTCACAATATTGGAGATATAGTTCGTTTGGCCGCTACCTAGGGAAGTTGCCCTAATAAAAGAGACAAACTAATAGCCATTTGTTATTGTATATTGTCGAGTGTCTATAAGGCTAGGAACAATCGCCTCTTTCAAGCATATTTTGTGTCCCCTGATAAATTGGTTGAGAACATACAGTTAATGTCGTATCCTTGGGTGAAGGTAAGGGGTAAAGATGGCGGCTGGAGTTGAGAAGATTGGACCTTCTGCCCTCTCAATTTTTGAATTCAATTTGTCTGTTATCTATAGTTGTTACTGATTGTATTCGGTTCAGCCCCTTCTTTGCAGCTTGATTTTTGGGGTGCTTTTTTAATCCATTTGCCTTTTCCAAAAGAAAAAAAAAAAAAAAAAAAAAAAAACTTCATTTTAAAGAGCTTTAACAACTTTTATGGTCAAACACAACACCAATGTGGGATAAGTATTTTTACTTCCCACTTAAGCAAATTCATCTCATATCCATTCTTAATTTTTTTTTTTAAAAACACACATACACACACCATAATTTTGACAATTAACATAAGCAATACGTAAATTAATATCTTATTTGGACCTAAAATCTAATAGAATTATATATAACAAAGAAAACATATAAAAAGATTAGTGTATAAAATCACTTTGTAATGTCTATATATATATATATATATATATATATATATATATATATATATATATATATATATATATATATATATATATATATACACACACACACACACACACAGAGTTGTAAAAATCCCGATTAATCCCTAGGAGCTACTCGACTGATTAGAGGGCGCCTAATGATTAATCCCTACATACATAATGAGTGAAACCGTATAAAATGATGAAATTTTAACATTTTAAAGAAGTTTTATCTTAATGGAAACTATTTGAGGCATAATTATTGTTGTATTAATTATATTAACAATTTGTGTTATGATATTAGTGGTATTTATGAAATTTGATATGATAAAGTCATATTTAATATTTTAAAATTCAGCAAATTAGCAATTAATGGTCCCTGATTAATACTCCGATTAACCTCCACCTAGCTGATTAATCGCTTAACCCCAGTCCAACAACTAGCTAACGTCGAAAGTTTTTTATAACCTTGAATTGTGTGTATATATATATATATATATATATATATATATATATATACACACATACAGAGAGAGAGAGAGAGAGAGAGAGAGAGAGAGGTTCTTTTGGGAACCAAAAGATTTATGAAAACTTCTGAACTCATAATCAACTCATCACTTTTCAACACAAAAAAAACACCAATATTCTCCAAATGGTGTGTCACATGTATTGGAACAACAAGCACTTGAAGATTATTACTTCATGGATCTAATCACAAGTAGTTCTAAGATGATAGTATCTTTTATTATTCAAACTGATATATATATATAATATATATATATATATATATATATATATATATATATATATATATATATATATATATGATTTTGTTTGTAAAATTTGTTGTGCATTGGTGTGCTCCCAATGTTATCCATACTTGGTAGTCATAAAGGAATAAAGGGTATTTCCATGTATGAGTAGTCTAGTATGAAAAAGCTATGTAGTCAAAGTTTATTTGTTCATTTTTGTAACTAGGAAGCGGTATCTATGGGTCCCTCGATGA